AGCGTGTTTCCCTGATAATGTTAGTTCCCACCAGCACTCTATGCATTTTACAGCAGACCAGCTGCTCCTCACCATTTCAAAGAATGTGGTCAGAAAGTAATACAGAAACTGCCACTCTGGTTTTGTCTGTACCTTCCAGGTCATATCTTCGTGCCTCACTTCCTGACACAAACAAGTTTTCACTGTTGTCAGCAACAAAGCCCTGATACAGCTGCGGGAAGAAAACGGCCTCGCATTTTGTCTCCTGCAAGCATCATCCACAGTTACCGGAGGAATGTAATTCCAGAAAGCTTTAAAGCTGGCGGTGATGGTAATTATGTATCAAATGCCCGATTCTATTTCTGTTATTATTGTTCTGTCATTTCTGTTCTACCCAAGAGCTGGCTGAACTCGCAGAGGTACAAATCCGGTTTTTCTTTTTTTTTTTTTTTTTATCTGGTAACATGTCATCAGACCTGATGGAGAACTCACTGCTCTTGGGGGGAAAATAAAGTGGGAGCCACGAAATGTCATTTTCACAGAGCGTGGGTTTGGTGACTGTAGGGAAGGATTTAAGGACGCTCCTTCTGTTCGGTTTTCTACGTGATGAGCCAAGGCTGCTCGCGCACGCAGACGCCGCGGCTCCCGGATGCTGCGGCTCCCACTGCTGCTGCAGTCACGTGGGAGCCCCTTTAAGTTTCCATAGAGAAGCCTCTCCGGTGTCACATGATGGACATGATATAATGAAACAACACCGTGGAGAGGAAAGCATTAGGGGAGCCCACGGCTACGAAAACAAGTGAGTGAGAAGAGGTGGGAGGAAGAGAAACTACGCCACCTCCCCTGCAGCCGAGCCGCCCGCAGCAGCAGCGGGCGAGGAAAAGGGGGCGGGGCCGGGGGAAAGCGGGAGGCTGGGAGACCGGGTCCTCCGCCCCGGCCCGGGGCCCCCGCCGCCCACCGCCCACCGCGGAGAGAACAACTTTCAGCCGGCAGCCTCGGCCTGCCTGCACCTGTCTCCGGAGCCTCCCTCGCTCCCCGGATGATCAGAGGGAAATGCGAGGAGAATATGCTCTACAAATATTACATGCGCATCTTTTTCCCCCGTGCGCCTCGCTCTGGAGGAAGGAGAGAGAACGGGATTGAAGCGGCCGCTGGTGTTCAGCCCCAAGGTAAGCGCTGGAGGGCGGGGAGAGCCGGCCCCACTGGGCCCCACCGGCAGGACTGCGGGCTGGGAATTCTGGTCTCCGTTCAGACCCCTCGGGAGGGGGACGAGGCGGCCCCC